GGAAGTTAAGTTTAGTTTAAAATGGTATATTTTAAATAAATAAAATAGAAATATTGAATTTAATTTGTTATTATGTGAAAATTAATTAGTAAATAATTAGGTAAATATTTGCCTAAAAACTAATAACTTAAAATACTAATATCAATGTTTATCATTCCATATTATAGAATAGCATATAGAAAAATCAAATCGATATCTCACTCAAGTTCGACATATAATATACTCCATATATTGAGGACTGTCACTTGCATACTATTTGAAAGGGATTCGGCTATCACTTGACAAGCCATTATATTCAATCGGTCCCCATAAGTAAACAGTTATTGCCCTTTCCGAGACTTGCAAATGGCGTTTTTTAGGGTATCTGTTTATTTAAATGAAGACTCTCTTTTATCCTTATAATATCTGCGTATGTCTGCATATGTTGAATGTTAATAATAACAGAGTAGGGTTTTTTATTATTATTTTTGTTATATATTATGTAGCACATTTTTAAATGTTTTAGAGTTAGTTAGTAATACGTATCTGTTCTCTTTCATTTGTATTTGAATAATCATTTTAGTGGACTATCATTTCATTTTCATGCAGAAAAAGTTCTATAAGTTCTATACTGTTTTTATGTTTGTTTGGTTTGGTTTGGTTTGGTTATACTATAAATTTACTACATACGATCAAAAAAAAAAACAGCGTCAAAGACGGCTGGGCAATGATCCCCTGATTGATCGATGATAGTGTTTGCGAGGTCAAAGGTCAATCTCAAAACGTCATTTACAAAAAATTGACACAAAACTTCTCGAAATTTATCACTAATTATAGAAAGTATATCATTTAACGTACATCATTTAAAAATAATTCTTACTCAATATAAAAATTAAATTTAACCTTTTTAAGGGCAACTAGCAGTAAGCGCAATTAAAAAAAAATAAAGAAAAATGCGCACAAGTAAATGACGTCTACCGACAACAGAAGAATCGTGTCGTGCATGACGGATAATTTTTATTTAAAATGTTAAAAAATATTCGAAAATTATGGCCACTAAAACACCCTAAAAAACGGCAAATTATCAAAATACCGTGCTAATATTCAAGATGCAGAATGTAAAATGTAGAATGAGTGGAAGGGAGGTTAATAACCGCGACCTTCATCTATTGTGTACACCTTTCTTCAGTTATAAATCATCATACAGTCCATAACAGTATATAATAATCATCATACAGTTGTTACCTGTAGTAGGGGGGATAGGGTAATTCCCATCCTCCTATAACAACAAAATGTTCATCCTCCGAGGACTGTGTGGACATCTACCTCCTACGAGGGTATACACCCTTCCATGCTTGGAGTTTAATCCTCCGTACCCTTCATAGTCGAGGAGCTTGTCTCCGGCTGAGGTGGAGGCTGGAGGATCTGACCCATAAGGTGGAGGCTGGAGGATCTGTCTCCATTTTCTCCACCCCTTTAACTTGGCCTTTCCTTAGACCTGATACCGGTGTTGTCCCAAATTAATAGTAATATCTCTCTTTCTCTATTGCTTCTTTGGATTTGAGGTCAATTCCTATTGCGAGCACCTTACTATGGCCCTTGTCCCTCGATTCATGACTCGCTAACTCGTGGTCCTTATATTTCAGTTCTGGCAAAGCTGGTGATACGTCCCTACTTGCCTCCTGGTGTAGGACACCCTGACTTTTTCTCTTCTTGCCTGAGCAGAGGATAGCTGTTCTTCACTCTCCCCTTTTTCGAGGAATGTTTTCCCTTTTGCTTTCTCTGGAGAAAATCCTTCGTGCAGCAGTCGGAGGTATCTCCGTACTACTGCTGTAGGTTAAGCCAACCCACGTAGCATAGGAAGGAAAAAAACCATTGACCACGGAAAATTAACCACTATTTGGTTGAATTTTACTTATACTTAACTTAATAAATTTCTTGTAGGGAATTAAGTGCGAGAAATCTAAAAATGAGGTCGTAAATTAGTTAATAATAACTTAAAATTATGCCTTTGAAAAGTAGCAACGTTGGAGTTAGCTGACATTGTTAAAATCTAGTTACTGATAACATATTGAGGGCATTAAGACTACAGGGATTTAAAGTAGGTTAAATGTTATTTTATTATAACCTCAAATTTGTCTCGGGGGTCGAAGGCATTGTTTGGTTTTCAAGTTAGGTTAAAATTTAGTTGTTAATAACTTTAAATGAGACCTTATTTGGAGGAGTTCAAATTAGGTTGAAAATTTAATTTATTTCAACCTCATAAGCAGGGTTCAGAAGTAGTTAATTAAGACGTAATTTACCTGATTAACTACGTGTAGTTTTTATTCAAAAACTACGTCTTTTCCCGTTCATTAACTACATGAAAACTACGTTAATAAACTATGTATTGATATTATGAATAATTTTCCTTTGTATGATGTGTAATAGAGATAATATGATGTAAATATTATATTTAAAGCCATATTTCTTCTGTTTTCTTAAATACATTATGTGTTGTTAAAGCTTCAACTTATTAAAACCTCACCTCAGACCTTTGATATTTGAAAGTTACATACATAAGTTACATAAACTACACCCTCTACATAAACTACATTAACTACATGTAATGTAGTTTATGTAGTTTTTAAAAGTAACATGTAGTTTTCCGAACCCGGCTCATAAGTCGCTATTATGCTTCAAAGGTAAAAGTAACTTTTAACTTGGAAGAAACTCAGACATACGGTAGGTTAAAAATTACCTTTTTTAATTGCAAATGCGGGATCCCTCTAAGATTTCGCGGGATCAAAGTTGATTTACCGTGCGGGATCTGCGGGATCGACACATTACTACTTGGTAACCGAATCGATCTCGATCAAGATTAAAGCCTCTTCGTTCCGGTCCAATGCGTCGACGCTCGGAACCCGGGGGATTTCCCTTCTGGCTTGACCATTAAAAATAAGTGAAACAAACAGGTTAATTCTTAGTTTTCTTTCTGGCGTATGTGCGTAAGTAAAGAAAAGCGTTTAACTAGTAAACTAGTACTTGTGGACAATTTCGTCAAATAAACTGCCGGACATAATAATCGGGACAAGCAAAATTTTAGGGTAAATTTAAAGTTGAATAACTCTTGAGCTAAAAAAGATTTTGGGATGCAGTTTGGACCAGGTTTTAGATGCATCATTGTAATTAAAATAATTTCGCGCTGTATCTCATTCACAAAGCATAGCACCAAAAATGTCAGTTTTACTAAAAATAGGTAATGTTTCTGAAAATATATTATTCCTTATACTTAGATTCCTTATAGAGTTGATTTCATGATTAATTTTTCATTTTGTAAATCATTATATTTACCTCAATTATTTATATGGAAGTGTTGATTGTTCAAAAAATGTGGTAGTGTTAGTCTGTATATACAGGGTGCTACAAATTCGGGGTACGAGCATTGGTATATCAGTAACCGTAATAGATGCGAACATGGTTAAGTTCGAGCAAAGTTGCCCCGCCTTGGGATGTTCACCAAGATACAATCAAAAAAGTTTTAAAATATTCAAGTATTGCTGAGTTGTTAGGAAAAAAACGATTTTTTTGAAAGACAATTTTATTTTTTCCTGTGGTTACTTTTTAGAAAATCAAAAAACTAATTGCACTTTCTCATAGCCACTTTATCAGGGCTGTCTGATTTCCGTTTTTTTAGATTTTCAAATTAGCTGATGTTTATGAGATACATATTAGTTTTTTTTTGTTTGATTTTTTTAAATACGGACCTGCATTTTTTTTCAGATTTTGAAGAATTCGGTCTCCTGAGTACAATGATATGCCACACTTATTTTTTTTTGTTTCGCACACTATTTATTTAAACTAATTACCGGCTCTATTTTTTAAAATATTTAAACTAGTCATTGTTACAATGACTAGTTTAAATATTTTAAAAAATGTGAATGAAACTTAACAATGACGTGAGATAAAACATTAAACACAGAAAATCAAACACAATAAAATAATAAAAAATAATGTAAAATAAATAATATAAATATAATATAATATAAACAATCAAATAATTTCCCCTGAAGATGGATTGGAAATGGTAGAGCAGTATAATGGCCAGCGAAGTTCCTGGACCTATCGCCAATGGGTAGGGGTGGGAGCATTACTGGACGTCAACATAATACATACATAAAATTGAACGAAAAATAAAGGTTTGCAATAGGGAGGGTGGTAAGTAAATAAACTCTTTCCAACATGTAGAGTATTAGAAACTACCATTAATATTATGCATTTTATTAGATCCTACATTGAGATTTCAAATTCACAAAAAAGTTAGAAATAACATCTTTTAAATTGCTGACTTGGATATTATTTATTTGAATCTTTCAATTGGCTCGATTTTCCTTATTCAATGTTTCTTATTCAAATCTAGAGTCGGACTTGAAATTATTTTAAATAATAATTAAACAGTTTTGTTGTTGTAAAAAGTGTTCAAAAACCAAAAAAAAAATATAAAGCGTGGTATATCGTTGTACTCAGGAAACTAAATTCTTTCAAAACCGTAAATAAAAATGCAGGTCCGTATTTAAAAAAATAAGTTGGCCTATGTATCTCACAAATTATCAGCTAATTTAAAAATCTAACAATAGTATCAGATAGCCCTGATAAAGTGGTTATGAGAATGAGCAATTAGTTTTTTGATTTTCTAAAAAGTAACGACACGAAAAAATTAAATTGATTTTCAAAAAAATTCCGTTTTTCTGAAAAAACTCAGCAATACTTGAAATTCTTCAAACTTTTTTAAAAGCATGTTGGCGAACATCCCAAGGCGCAACTTTGCCCCAATTTAACCATGTTCGTATCTATTAGAGTTTCCGAGATACCAATACCCGTACCTCGAATTTATAGCACCCTGTATTTATAAAATATGAGCCATACAAGAGAGATTAGATTTTTTTACACAATTGCCCAAACAAGTTATTCGAGTCAATTTAATGTATAACTTGTTTTTTTTTTCCTCTGCGGAATCAATAGTCTGATAAAAAGTTCAAATGTCAATCGCCGTTGTTGTGAAAACGATTTCAAATGTTCGGTCATATACATACAAGTTAAAATGCAAGTGAAAAGTGTTTTTTGCGTAAATTTTCTGTTAGCTTGTGTCTATTCTAATTCGAATTTGAATTGTAATTCTTCAGAGAGTATTCCTGGATTAGAATGTAGCAATGAAAATAATACGGACAGCGATGAAATTAATACTGATGTATCTTTGGAACATAAAGACTTCCTTGAAAATATTTCAAATATAACGGATACACAAAGCCTAAGTAAGTTATGTTTGATACTGATATTTATTTTTACTTTATTTTACCAGTTTCCTTTAATTTCTAAAAACTACTATTATCTTTCCACCTATTTTGCATGTCAAATTATTCAAGCAATATAAATTGCCTTCTGTTCATGAAAAAAATAATAAATAATATATTTTGGAAAGCACAGATGCTAATTTTTTTATAATATATAAACAATAATCGCTTCTCAAAGATGATAATCGTTTTGATGCTCTTTCTACATATCGGGTCGTGCATGTGCAAGAGAAAATTCAATGCAAATTTTGAACTGTCGAAATATTGAAATATTGACTCCCCGTTGATTTTACAGCCAAGTCGTAAATACGTGTTTTAAAGGTCTGCATATTCTGAATAATATAAGGTTTTCGAAACCGGGAATTTCAATACCACACGTCTTCTGGTGTATGGGGGGCTAATAATTAATTAATAAGCTGGCGAAATGTAAAAAATGTTGTATTTTAAAATTAAAGTAAATTCACTACTAATAATAAATACTAAATGTCTGCAGTTTATTTTATGACCAATGTTTTGTCCAAATATACTAAGGGCTGGCAAAGGTTAGTCTTGGGTCGAGATTTCCGTATGTAAGAAGAGTACAATGCGTTTATAAGGTACTGAACAAAGAGAGAACAGTAAACACGTTGCCAAACGTATGAAATAAACCGAGAAACTGTGCACATTGCTAGAGACACGGATACGTGGAAGGAGCAGTTTTGTCGCAGCAGATTTGTCGCAGTCGACCGGTTGACCAAATCAGTACCTCTTTCAGTACTTCAGGTTCTAGGGAAAGGTCTACATCATGCGTTCAGCTCATAGACTTAAAATAAAATATAGACTACACTATTTACATCTCAACGCGGACAAACAATCTTTTTTGTACACCTGTTTACTTCTGGGTACAGTCGACCGAGCCTTCCTCATCCAGCCTATGTTGTCACGTCTTTAATATTATCAATATTTCTTTTCTTGTTATACACATATATTGAGATATTAATACTACAGTTTAATAAAGTAGGTTTTAATATTCCATAGATGTATTAAATAGTCCTTATACTACTAAATTATAAGTCGGATACTGTTTAATAAGGATAAGTTCTTTACAATATGACAACACCGATTAGAGGCGAGGGAGCCTATTCATTCATTTATTACCTTGTAGTACGTGTCGCACGTGTGCGGTAAAGCTTTGTTGCCGCTATCTCCCCGGCTGTATTAACGCATTCTCTTAGCTTGTAGTCCTTAAGTGTTTATTTTATTGACTTTTTCTGTTCAGGAACTATAAAATATGGTTCGCCAGTGCCAAATTTGCAAGAAATTTGACTTAAATAATCCATTTAAGTCTTGAAACGACTTTGGACCGGTAGGCAACTCTCAATTTACCCATTGGCAGTCAGTGGCGTTGTTGTAGAAAGGCGCTTATTTAGATAATATTTTAGTAAAATGTAAAATCTGAATTTTTTCTTTTACATTACATTATTTACTTACTTACATTGTAACAAAATCATAATTATAACCCTGTTAATAATTAATAATGTTTTTATTAAAAATATATTCCGGTTTATTTTAAAATTATCTTCAGAATCTAACTACTTTATTCGATAAAAAATGACACTCTGAATAGAATGACATATCATATGTCAACTTTTGACATTGTCGCTTAAAAACATATCCTATTTTAAATTTCAATCCAGTTTTTTTCAATCCACTAAGTTTTAATCAAGGAGCCTTGGAAAAATAGTTTTGATCGTCTAATAGGTTTCGTGTCTTGTCTAGGCCGGTTAAAAGATGTACAAATCGTATTTTTAATCATACATATGTCAATTTTTTCAAATGGAACAAGGGTGACTCATTAGCATATTTGGAAAAAGCATTTTTTTATGAATTAATTGATACCACACACTTGGTATTTCGAGTCAAATTGTCGCTATGAACCGCGTGTTACAATTACAATTAAACCATATGCGAAAATGTCAAAAGTTGACATATGATATATCATTCTATTCAGAGTGTCATTTTCTAAATAAAGTAGAATAAAGTAGAAATATACCGAGGGTGCCGTTTAAAAATTAAAAGTTATATTCATTTCCGGTGAAACAGGAAGTGACCAAAAACAATTGAATGCGTCAATCAATCCTAATTTATTTTATATACTAACATACTAAATCTTGTCTTTTTATTTGAAAATATAAAAAATTATGGGGATGAGCCACTTTTGAGACGCACCCGGTATAATAAAGACAGTACCGAGTTAAATAAATGTAGTTTTTATTTTATCCACTTCCTATCACCTTCCTTGCTTTAATGGAACAGATTTATGTTTTCTCTAATTTACATAATAAGACATCACTTAACCAGAAAAAAAATTACAACAATCATATTTTTTTTTCTGTCCCTGTCGCCGATTCTATTATATCTGTGGAATAGATCCTGTTTTGATTAATATTAGGGGTTGTAAATGTTTGACTAAAATTAATAATTTATTATTAATTTCAAAAATTACCTAATTTTGATTATAAAATTTTTTCTATAACGTGTATTTTATTATTTTTATCCTTTTTGGACTCTAAATTGTTTTTTCTAAACTTTTATTTAAAAAACCTGTCCTAAATCTTAATAAAATATAAAAATGTTTAAATACGATATATTTTTAATTTAATTATAGCTTCATTAAAATAAAAAAATTACCCGGCTATGATACGGAGAGTTCAGGTGTACTTGAGAAACGAAAGACAGTGTTGTGTTCCTCGGCAGTGTCGTCAGGTAACGACCGTTACGACAGAGACAACCTATCTATCGCTCGTGTCGCACTCGTTATAACCTAAAACAATAACACAACTATAACACAACAATAACAAGACAGTGTCTGACCGCATGTTCCAGCTATTTATGAATGAGATGCTCAGTCTATATTTTATTTTAAGTCTATGGTTCAGCTTAATAAATAAGTTCAGCAGAATAAAAAAGTTACACGATTACTGAAAGTTTACGATTAATGATCCGACCTCCAAAATAAAAAAGCTTCAATATCTAGAGTGGTTTTTAACAGGGGCGGATAGAGGAATTTAGGGGGCCCGGGATTTATTTTAGGGGGGGGTCCAAATAAAAAGTAATGTAGAATATGCTTTTTAGAGAGCCTTTTTAACCCAAAAACCTAATATTTAACCCAATTTATAGATTTTAGGGGGGGGCTTAGCCCCATGGGTCCCCCTCTGTATCTGCCACTGGTTCTTAAGTTATGGCGTGTTATGTGTTAAAAAGTTAAATTTTTATATTATCGCGATTACTGACGTTGTCTCGTTATAAAAAAATGGACACACTAACGATCCTTATAATTTAATTTCAGAAGCTCAGAAATATATCTATGATTTTATCTAGTTACCTTTTCGAAAAAAAAGTCTTAAAAGTAAGAGGTTTGCGATCGTGATTTTACTTTACTTGATAGGAAAAGGAAACCATCGCATTTCTCTCACTCCGACTTAATAAGATCCCTATGTGATTTACTTCCACACATATGTAAATACCGACCCAAAAGTAACAGTTGCCAGCACGGTATAGGAAGATTAGGAGCGTTAGTCATTTTCTAATAGAACTATAGCAGCTATAGAAATCATAAAATATAGTAAACTAAAAAAAAACTAAGTTATTCTCATTATGCATCATATGTCGTTTATTATAAATATGTTTGTTATCAAATGTTCAGATTAAGTACAGGATGGGGAATTCCAAACGGATAATTGTAAATAGCAATTAATATAATCTTTCGTATATTAAATTGTCTAATAAAAAATAACGCATTTCATTTATAAGTAAGGCAAAACTAACTAATATATATCAAATACTTTCAAAAAAAAAAAAAAAATATATATATATATATATATATATATATATATATATATATATATATATATATATATATATATATATATATATATATATATATATATATATATATATATATATATATATATATATATATATATATATATATATATATATATATATATATATATACATATATATGTACAGTGTGACCCACTCAGACCGGGCACCCTCCATAAAATCTGTGTTTATAGTCCGATTTTGATGATTTTTTTTTCAAATATAAAGTTTCAAAAAATGTACTTTAGAGCTCAATGTCATGTTATTTCACAAAAAACAAGGCCTACTTAATAAAGTTTTTGTGGTGAAAAATTTGCAAAATCATATTAGCGATTTTTTTTCAAAAAATTTGAGTACACCCCTACATTCGGCATCCCTCAAAACAGTTCTGTACCAAATTTCGTTTAAAAATATTAATTATTAATAATTCTGCAGTTAAATTAAATAATTCCCTATTTTTGCCAATTTAACGATGAGTTATAACGTAACCCTTGAAAAAAACAATCCACAACAATGGGTTTTATTAGCTGTCAATTCTTGCAGCGTAGAATTGAATATTAATTTAATAGCACGCAGAAAAGTGTTGTATCAAGAAATATTATTTGCATTATGGAACAATTAAATATTAGGGATAAAATTGAAATTATTCGTTTAGTGGGTGATAACTATCTTCAAGCAGGAGAAGCTGCCAGAGAATTTAACAACAGACATCCCGACAGACCTGCAGTAAGTAGAAGCACGGTTCAACGAATAAATAGAATTTTTAATGAAACTGGTTGTGTGTTGTAGTGTTCAATAGTTTAGAGATTATTATTATATAAAAAATGTACTCTGAATAACTGTAAACAACAATGTTTATCTTTACGTAATGCGGAAAGGCGAGTTCAGTCAATACATGATAGCCAGCAAGCAAACAGTATTTTATTTTAAACCCCAGAGTTTTCGTGTATTCTACAGTGGCGACGAGGACTAAACCAAACAGATATTGTGATTCGGTTAAAATACAATCAGTAAGTACCTAAAGTTTTAATTGGAAAATTACACCAAATATTTACTATATATTGACCGATTTCGAAAAATAAATTAACACTTTAACT